ATTATGGATGGCCACGGCATCCAAGTATCCTTCCCCTGTTAGAGGCACTTACAATGATGGGCGTGGCGGCCCCAGCAGCATCCATATTCAGAAGCAATTTTCTCGCTTTGGAGCATACGTTTCGCAGCCGGACTTGGTCATATGATACTAGGGCCTTACCATTATAGTATTAGGCCATTAAATTTTCACCAACCTCAAATTTGGGTGGAAAGCCCTATTAAGCATGAGTTTTACGAGTTTTACGCAATGTGCACGTGGTGCTTCTACTCAGCTCAGCTAATATTCATGAATGGACCTTCACGCAAAACTTTAGCCGTGGGAAGGCGTTTGTGACACCTTTTCAAAAAATTCCTCAAAAAAGCAGTCTCACGTTTTTACTGCAGGAAGATAAAGAAATGTTGGAATGACGCCGTTTCACTGCCGGCAAAAAGCAGGTTTCTATGAGGCAATCGTGAAATTTCACCAAACGCAGTTTTCAAAAGCAGCCAACAATTTCCTGGCCACCAAAAGGTATGATTAAATCATAAACGACGTTCGGAACAATGCAAGGTAACCGTGGTGACTCACCCGCCGTGGAACTATAAAAGAAAGTGGTTGAATAAGCAGTGACTGGGGGTGCAACCTAAAATAAAAATTACTTGATACCCGATTTATTTGAGCGTTAGCAAAATTTGACCTACCTGTACACTCGCATCACTTCGGCACCGGTCAAATTTAGAGCTCTTTTAGATATAGTACATATACAAGTATGAGGTGCCTGTTGTTGACATTCAGTCAAATAAATCACATAAGGGGGTCGATTTACAAATTCATACAAGCGGAACGTCGAATCACCCTGGAATAAGTCGCTCAAATTCTCAGAAAATACGACGAAAGATGCGGTCATCACCAAGCCCCTACCAACGTACCTTGCCAGAAACATAAAGAAGATTGAGATCGGGATCGAATAGTGGGCAAAGTTGGCCTGAAGAACCGTCGACATCGATTGTGGCTAGAGAAGAACCGAAAGACGATATGGAATGAATCGCAAACTGTCGTCGATTAATTCTTGTGTTACCAAATGTCACCAAACGTTGAGCACTGGCGAACACTACCTGCAAAATGATATATGTGTAAAGCGTTATCAGAAGTACCACGACACCGTGATATTTAGTGGTTACGTCGTCAAAATTTGTTTTTCCTCTCAAAAGAAAAGAGCAGGCGAAATGAACATGAACCAAGCTTTTGCTTTTGAAAGAAAAGGAATATCGTAGGAAGTCCCAAGCAAGCCCATGAAAAAGTCGCATGATAATTGTACAAAATGTTAACTGAGCAGTGCGATGTCTATTGAGTGTTCGCAAATACATTTTATTTTGACAAACATCTGAACATCTAAAACATAGTTGTACGACAAAACCATTTCTGCAACAGAAGGCAAAAGTAAGAACATCGAAAGCAAAAGTAAAGCTTTTATTCTGAAAAGAACCAAGTTCATGCTCGACTGACTCGGTTCAATGCAATTTTGATCAATTTTGAAAATAAATACTC